TGATGAGGTATCTCCTTAAATTTTCTGATTCACTGCACTGACCTCTTGCATACTATAACAGGAAATAAGCTCTTTAGTAAAACAGAAGAGCAGCAACATGATGGTCATTCTTTTGGACAAGTCTAGCTCTGCTAGCGTTGTAGGCTTCGTGACTGCAGTCTATCAACTTGTCAAGCAAGCAACTCTGTTCCAGTGTTTTTAAATGCATTCTAGAGTAGTAGAAACCCAACTGTGACTAAACACAGCAATCCAGCCACATTTGGCTCATTAAATAAAACAAAAATTAGCAATAGTCAACATATCAAAGTTCTTCCAAAGTCTTCGTTCTTGTACCAGCATTATTTCCATGCTAGCAAAACTAATGGTGCTCTAGCTCACAACAGCCTTTGAAGTGACTGAGAGCTACTTACTGCTTACAAAAACAAACAAACAAAAAAACCACCACAGCCTGAGAATGGTCCTTTTCTCTTTCAGGTAAGGGGACTAAGCAACACAGAATTTAAGGTTAATCAGATTCTCTGTATAAGGTACAGCAGAAAGGAGGTGTCAAAAAACAAACCTCTGAAAAGAGTACTTTCCAGTGGAAGTCCAAGAACCTCCTATTTGTGCCTATTTCTATTAACTGCTAGAACAATACACAGCCCTCCAAGTTTTTGTGTTGTCTCCTCCACACCACAGAGTTAAGAATCCCTATTTTCATGTGATATTTTTTTCTTTTCTGGAGAGATTGTAGAATCCTTTAAGGTGTTAATATTTTAGTTTCCCTTTGGAAAAGAAACAATGCCAAAAGACAAACATCACTAAAGTGATTAAGAAGCCCACAGGCTTAGTCAGTTGTGTTTTAATTATGCTTGCTACAGACTTGCACACCCACTGTTTTTGGCTTGAGAGCTGGACTCCTGCTACCTTAGCTCTCTCTCTTCCTGAGTATACCTTAAGGTAATACCAGAAGGTAACAGTGTTCTCACTCTAAGGAGAGCATAAAAGACAAGTTAGTGGCTCAGATTTGTCTCTGACAGGCTAGTGATTCCATCTGCCTCTCAGCTCCCTCTTTGTATTTCAGCCTAAGCATAAACAAGCTGCTCAGCAGCAATGATCATTGTAGACAGCCCAAAAGATACCATGCCATATGCCTACAGTCAGTATCTTTCAAGGGAAAGATTCAAGAAGGCAGAAAATAGAGCAGCAGCTCAGGAGACTGCAATGGAACTATAAAAGTATATCTGTTAAAATAGAATGAGGGGAACAGAGAATTCCCTTCCAAACAGGAGAGTGCCAAAAGGAAGAACCTAAGATGTGGTGTTCTCACTTTCTCTGACATACCTCAAGCATTATCTACCAAAGTTATTCAGTTAGATATACACACATGCAGAAAGCCATGCAGTCCTTGATATTCAAAGTAATCAAGTATAATACCTGTGACTTAAACAGCGCATGGATCTTACTATCCAAGTGCTACAGTTCTCAAGTGAACTTAAGAGCATCTGCATTTTATGCAGGTCAAATTGAACATGTGGATGGAAAATGAGAAAGACACTTTACAATTTCAGGCAAACAGCAGGTTTTAGCAGTCTCTTCTATTTGAAACAAATGAGTGAAGTTTTCCCTATAGAAATGACATTTCCTCTTCCCATTTATGTTTCTTTTGACTTCTGTGAATCCACCTCGCTTTCTTGCTGGGAAGCATCACCCCACAGCTCCAAGTTTGTAATGACAAGGGCAAACTGCAGTCATGTCTATAGCCATCTCCAACAACCCTGCTGGAAGGGGAAGCAGTGGGAACAAAACAAAACAGTACCTGCAACTTATTCATGTGAACGTTTCAGAAATAAACAATATATATAGGAAAATAGAAACCTCGTATCTTAGACATTTTTAAGGAGAAATCTTTTCTGCTGCAATTATCTACCTGCTCCTGGAAAACGAGAAGCAAGGACCCATGAGAACAACCAATTCTTTTAGCAGAACAGATAGATAGAAGACTCCAGTTAATAAGAGCAGCACTGGTTTTTTTTTTTTGGTTTTTTTTTTTTTTTGCCTTCTTCAATCTTAAGAAGAAAATATAGTGTGCTAGGAAGGTGAAAACAAAGGAAGAAGTTTTAATGCCAGTTCAGCATACCACAGGAGGCCAAGCAACGGCACTATCACATTACTCCAGGCAAAGCTATCCTGCCAGCTCCCACACAAAAACTGATCATTAGTTAAGTTTCCACAAATAGATGTGCACAGTTTAAAAGGCTGCATTGTAGTTCTCTCCTCAGCCTATCACCCAGTCCTCCAGCAGATGGTCTCTGCACACTTAACAGTTCCTCAGTCCATGCCAGGGACCTGCCCTCACACAGAACATGTTACAACGTTTGTGCCATGTGAGCCAGATCAGGGGAGAGGTGCAGAGATTCAAGAAGCAATAAACATCAATGCCAAATGGAAAGGAGCACTACGCCAGTGGAAGAATGCTACAGAAAACTAAAACTGTAGGAAGAAAAAATGCCAGAGCCATTAAAAACTTTAAAAGGAAGAGCAAGAAAGCATCTCCATTTACATTACTAACAAATTAGCAAGCAGTCCATATGCAACTGAGTAGTGAGAGTACTCTTCATCTTCTGTTTATTTCCAAATTTAGTTTGCTTCATTTCTATCCTTACTGTTTGTTGTTGTTACTGAAGTCCTGAAAGGGATCCTCCTTTCTCCTCATCTTCAAGTTTCTAGTGAAGCGAGCATGTGTCATGCAGAGGAGATTTTATTTCAAAATAAGGATTTCTATAAAATGCGAAGTATTATATCTGAACTACTTGAAAGAGAGCTTTCCAATGGGGAGTTCTGCTGTCATTTATGTCAAACCACTGCCTGCCTTCTCACGAACGATAACATATCCTTTCAAAGCTGCTAACTTGTTATTCTCAATAACTTTAAGGTCAGCAATATCTTGACCTGTGTTTATTTCAGCAGCTCTTCTATTTTTGTTGTGGCTATCGATCATGATTGCTAACAAGTCAAATATTGCCAAGGGTATGCAGGAGATGAGCAAGACTTCCAACTCCACTTGGCATAGGACAGGACAGAAAAAGAGCATCTATTCATTTGCCGGCAAATTGGGACTTTCCAGCTTGTGAATCACAAAACGCACACAGTGAGCCCATAGGGCTGTACAGAACAATAGCCCTAGAACAACAGGTATAAAGTGGTTTCATAATTCAGATTAAATTTGCTAGAAGGCTGTTAAGCGATTATCTTTCCTCTGCACACATCTGAATTTCATTATCTACAGTGCATGCGATTAGTGTTAATGTGGTTCTTACTGTTGTTGGTCCACCCCTGTGTTTCATCTCTGATAGTTTTCAGCACTACCTAAAGATTCTCCAAGACCGCTTTAAAGATTTCTGTCCCTTACATCACGTTTTGAATGCTGTGTCACAGTTATTAACGAGTTCTCGGCTTTTAGAAACAATAGGTGCAAGAAACTGAAAGACAGACATGCTAAGCCTTCAGACAGATGCAGACCTGAACGTTTCTCCAGAAAGTTCCGAGTTTCATTACTTGAAAGTATACAACCGTTGTGGGAACAAGCGGAGTTCCTAGCAACGAATATGGACAGGGACAAAAAAACCGAGGGGCGCGGTCAAGGGCATCCTTTGACTGCGTACACGGAACGCTTCCTACGCGGCCCGATGCTTCTCCGGCTTTTGGGAGCAGCACACGCTCGCAGCCGAGCGCAGAGCGGATGCGGTTCCCAGGAGCCGGGAAGGCGGGCTGGCTGCGGCAGTGAGCCCTTTGTTCCGGGCATCCCGCGAGCTTAGCGCTGCGGCTCCGGCTGTTCGGTACGGGAGATCGGCGGCCGGCAGCCCCTCGCGCAGCCTCTCCCGGCCCCGGCGCAGCGGAACGCGGGGCGAACGATCGCTCCAACCCCCCACCCCCGCGCGGCGGTGCCTCACCGAGCCCGGCCAGCCGCTCCACCAGCCCTGCGGCGCGGAGAGTAGCGGGGCCGCGGTCCACTCCGCGTCGTTTCTGCCAGACAAAGAAGAAGAGACGCGTTAGCGAGCACCGCCCGCCACCGGGCTGCGGCCCCCCGGCCCAGCTATACGCCCACCTGTCCCCTGGACAACGGGGCGCCCACCAGCGCCACCGAATGCGCTCGCCGGGCCGGCCGCAGCCCCGCATCCGCCCGCTTGAGGAAGAGCCGCACGAAGCCACCGCGCAAAGCCATGGCGCAGGAGATGCCGAGCCGGCAGATGATGCCCGCCGCCGCCGCGCCGCTCCTTTTAGCCGGCTCCAGCTCCGCGCGCGCCGCCCGGCCCCGCCCCCGCCCGCACACCCCCGGGCCGCCCGGCCAATGGCGGCGCGCGCGCGCGGAGGTGTGTCCCGCCCACAGAGCGGAGCGGGGCCCTTCGCGCGACGCGGGCGGGCGGCGGCTCCTCGTCACGCGCCCGCGGCGCTGGTGTTTTTCCACTCCCGCGGCGAGGGGCTCGCGCACCTGCCCCGGGCGCTGTGCTCCAGCCCGTGGCGCTGGGCGCGGATGCGGTGTCCTAAGAGCGGGAGCCGGCACTTTGGTATTGCCGAAGCTCAAGTTTCTATGCGCGTATGCACGTGCTTTGAGGAGAGCCGAACGAGCGGCGGTGGCACGGGGCGGCTCCCCGCCTCTCATCGACGGGTCGCTCCGCTCCGTCGCCTCGCACGGCGCCAGCTCCTGCCCCGCGCCCACCTCCTCGGCCGTCGCTTTTAGCACCTGCTCTCCTCGTAACAACGCGCAGGCCCCGTCTCTAATGTTAGCGTCCCATTTCAGCCTACGCAGGCTTTTTTTCCCACCGGTTCTGCCCTCACCCCTTCGGCCCCAATTTTCGCCGCTCCTTTGTTTACACGGCACCCACGCAGGGACTCTGCAGCCGCCACGAAGGCAGGCAGTTGCACACGGAAAGTTGGTACCGGAGGGAGACAAGCGGGGGAAAACGCCTGCCCCGCTCCGTCACGGTGAGAGCCACACAGGAGAACAACGCAACCGTAGCCCTTAAAGCCAGGCGGCACACAGGCTCCCGCAGCTCCGCGCACGCGCCGCCCGCCTCTTCCTTTCCCCTCTTTTTCCTTCCCGGCGGAAGCGGGGCGCTGTGCGGATGGAGGAGAGGCGCTATCAGTCGGCGTCGGGGGCGCCGCTGGCGCTGCGGTGCCGCCAGCATAGCGCTTCCTGCCGGGAGCTGGCCGTGCGCTGCCCCCGCCTGCAGCTCCGCTCGCTCAGCGCCGTCACCTCCGCCGTCTGGCTGGCGGCCTACGGGCTCTTCGCGCTCTGCCAGGTACCCTCGCCCCGCCCCCCTCGGCTCCTCGTGGGGACCCCGGCGGAGAAGGGCGGCGGGCGCCTCCAGGTGGGCCCTGCGCGTCGCTGCGCTCGGGTCCCGGAGGGCGCCTGCTGGGGCTGCCCGCGGATCCGAGCGAGCCGCACCGTGCCCTGCCCTGCTGGTGCGGGGTGGGAGCTGCGGCCGCACTGCGGCTGTTGCGCTTCCGTTTTGGCCTCAGCGGTCTTTTCCGTGAAACGAAGGCAGGAAGGATAGCGGGAGTCAGTTGGCAGTGGTTCGCTATGCGGTAGCTACTGCCCGCTGTCGTCCAGCTCAGTTTTACATATGCTCTTGCGGCCCGCGTGTGGCTGCAGTCATTCCTTTCTGCCAGCAAACCGGGTCTGAATGGCTGTCTTCGTGGATTTCAATTCCTGTAACTCATGACTGCCTTTCCATGACAACAAACTGTGGGAAAAGCTGTGTTTCCATTCTCTTTGTATGTTGCCACGGCTTCTTTCTTATCACCTCACATGGTGATAGAGTCTACTGTGCGCTGCTTGCATGGCAGAGCTGTGCCGTTCTGTTAGAGCCTTGCAGTTCTAGCCCTTAGGAAGTGTTAGGTTTAACTCGGGCTGATGAGTGTGTGGCCTGGTACTCTCTGAAACAGATCCCAAAAAGCAGCTATAGGTTGAAAGCCTTCAGGCTTCATTACCAGGTCCTTCATTGATGCTGCTGATTTACTGAGAAAAGATGACTTGTGGAACATATATTTGTAAACTTATGTATTGTTTTATGTAGCAACAAGCCCAAGGTTGCAGCATGCAAAAAACAGTTTGTCCTCAGGTGAAGCACAGGAGGAAGCAGACATTCTCAAGCTTGATGTTTAAGGCAAGAAGAGAGGCAAAGTTTGAATGAATTTAGACTTCCCATGGTAAGAAGAAAACTTGTATCTCCTAAATAGGCCCAGGCCAGTGTTTTTTGCTGAAAGATTTTTCTTCGAATCACCAAGCTTAGTTCAAGTAAACATTTAACAGCATTTCTGTATCCCTACAGATACCTGTATAATACACTGTCAATGATGTATACAACTGCATTTGGATGGGATTTATCCAGTAACTTTACAAGGGAATACAGTGTTCTTGCTGATTTCATTTTCAGTCGTTCTTTCAGACCATCCTATGAAGGGTGATGTTTGGTGACTTAAATCCATCATGCTCATATCAGCCAGCCTTTTGAATGAATGGACTCCATCTATGTAAAATCACCTTGTAAACGTAGCCATTATATTATGATTAACTGTTCAGTATTTACTTATATACTTACATACTTATACTCTACGTTCAATTAATTTTAAGACTAGAGCCCTGTCTTTGCTTGGTTTGTGTTACAGAATAGTATGGTGCTTTCTGCTGCTATATTCCTCACGCTGATCGGCTTCATCATCTACCTGCACTTTGTGAAAATTGACCAGGAATCCCTACTGGTCATCGGCTCACTTGGCATTCAGGTGACTTCATCTTACGCTTCAGGGAAGGAGAGCACAACCTTCATTGAGATGAGCCAAGTGAAGGATGTGGTTATCAATGAAGCCATCCATATGGTAATCATATTGTCTTTCTTGTACCCACCTTTCTTGAAGGTGCGCTCATCACACGTATTTTCACAGGACTGGTTTGGCATTGCAATTGAATACAGCTGCATAAATACAAATATGTAGACTTGACTGTGCTTTGGAGTGACTGGGAGATGGCAGACGTACTGCACCAAGCTGCTTGCATCAAGGGGGGGGTTGAAAGCTGTAACTTCCACAGAAGGCTGAAGCAGGCAGTTGTGATAGCTCTTTAAAGTGACACCCATAAATCCAACAGATTAATGTATGTGAGTCTGAAGTCATCTTCTGCTAGACTTACCCAAAAGAGAGTTGTTTTGCCTGAAGAGCACTCTGGGAAGACATGGAGATTTGCATAGGTCTGTATAAAGTTTTCTAGCAAAAGGAAACAAAGGTTTCTCATTATATGCAAGGAGGCAGAAAAGCCTTTGCACTTGCTTGTCAGTTTTATGTAAGACTTGGTGTGCTGTGCCACCATCACTGTTGAGTTCAAACGGTTACAGAGAACTGAGGTTGTACACAATGTCACTGACGTGTGTGAAATCATCACAGATGAAAACAAATTCTTAGTAAGTCTCCACAATCTTCAACATGGTCCAGCATTGTATAACTTCTTAGAAAGGCAAAACAGGTAATTAGTAAAATGGTCTGTATAAAAAAAAAAAAAAAAAAATAAGAGAAAGGCATTGTCAGCAGGAATGTTTAAATCCTATGCTGCTTGTTGTTTTTTTCCTGTGTTTTTTGTTGTTATATGTTTAGTAATATCTTGAACTTCAGTAACTTGAGTAGACTTGGGTGAAGAATGGCTTTACAGAAAGGATGGGTTTTCTGAAAATCCCCCTGCAACCTTTTCAATTCAAAATGAGAAGTTCATGGAGCAAAACCATCTTGATATTTTTAAGGCTGAACACAAACAGGAAAAAAGAGAAAGGGACTGATTTCAAGCTGCTTTATTCATAACCTTGTAGCAAGAATTTTTACCCTCTTGAAACACTGATGTTTCTGCTGTTTTATCTTTAGAAAATGTCACACATTTTGTTCAGCCCGGTGAGCTGAAGCAATTGCTCTTTCTGTGATGACTCCAGGCACTTTGATAGCATTTTCAAACTTCAATTATTTGTTCTGTTTGTCTTGTAGCAAAAAGTTATCTATTACCTGTGCATCCTCCTGCGCGACCCTCAGGATCCTCAGGGAGTGTCTGAGGTTGTGCCACTCTTTCAGGTGAGTGTGACTGAATAACGAGGCAGTACAAAGCTGTGTTTTGTGTGTGTGTCAGATGCCTTGGCGTACCTTTGTTCCGCCACATGTGGGACAAAGGGTTACAGCTGCCTTTCTCTGACTGCGCATTCAAGTTGGATCTTACAGCAGTGTGCTGTGAGCAATACTCGAGTCTCACAGAATTAAGTACCAGGGAAGTTTTGTTTGTTGGTCCTCCATGCTAGGAATAGGGCGCTATGTAGTTTTGAATCTGACCAGTAGATTGCATGAACTGGAAGTCTTTGGCTCACTGATGGTAATGAGGACTTGCACAGCTTTCTGTGTAATCTCTTGCTCAGTGTTACCTTTGTAATTGTATTGCCATAGTTGATTTATCTCTCGGCAGTCTGTGCCAAAAAGATTTCATTAAAATCTCTTTGGCTTACAATGATAGCTTCCCCTACAACCGCTGACAAAGATCACAGTACAAGCTGTGAGCAATTTGCTTAATGTGTAATAACTTGTTTGTTTTAGTCACACCCTGTCTATCTCATACCCTGCTTTACTCATACTCTGTCCTTTCTCTTCTCTCGCTAACCTGTTTTGGCTGTTCATAATCCTGTTTTGGGGATGGAATTTCTTTCTCTCTCTGTGTGTACTTCACTCAACAATACACTGATCCTTGAGTGTAAGTAAGGAGTACAGATGTACCTCATATTGTAGACTGCTGATGTTGTGTTTATCTTCCTCTCTGTTCACCAGCTGCTCATGAATATCAGTTTGTAGTCAAATGCATTTATGACTGGATACAGTTAAGTCTTCAGCTAAATACTTAGAGGAATAAGTGCACTAATCCATAGATATTTACAACTGACTCAGTCCCACAATTGTGAAGACATTTACTAACAGTAAAATAAATGAAGTATTTCATGTATGTCCAAGGAATTCACAGTAAGTGTATTCCAGGCAGCTGCACTCAGGATTTGTGTTCCTTTCCAGCTTCCTGGCATTAGTGTGTTAGGTTTTTTTCCCTGTTTTTTTTTCTTTTTTTTCCTCCTTAACTCAAGTCTGAACGGTGTTATTTCTTTGGAAATATCTTAATGTTGGCAGTGTTGATTCCACCAGCAAAGGATTAACAGAAAGAGCTATGTCAGTTTGCAGTTTGTTACCTGCCAGTAATTCTCACTTTAAAGTTACTTAGTTTTGAAGGAGCAGTAATTAGTAACTTTCTTGCATCTCCTTCAGTGGGTCTTTGCTCCTCTAAGGCATGTCAGCCCTCAGAAACACAACTTAACATGTCACTGCACCCAGGAGTACTTCTGTGCTGAGTTGACCTATTGTTCTCTTAAGCAATGGTTGCAAAGAAAGGCATTAAATGGACTTTACACGGTAATACTGTTTTGAGATCTCAATAGTCATGGAGCCATAGGGATCCCAGAACTGGGAAACTTTCACCTTCCTGCTGATCCAGGTTAGGAATGATGAAAAATCATTATTCTCTGACTATCATTCCTCTATTAGTGTGAAATTAATTGATGTTTTCAGTTAACCTTCAGTTGTCCTCTTGTTGACAGTAATAACTGTGGCTAAGGGCCAAGCATGTAAGCTCCTTGTTCTGAAGGTCATTTTTTCAGGGTGGAGATCATTGAGGGAATATTGTCTCACAGATAGGCTAATGGTTTGGAAGATGTGGATTTTCTTCTGTATTTTCACTGTACATTGTGAGTTGAAAGGAGAGGATCTCTGATTTGGTGAGAGATTCAGGCTGATTGGAGAGTGGTGCTGTGTGTTTTAACCTGACAGCTCTGGGGACTGGTGCTTTTCATCCCTGAGCTGATGTGGCTGATTCTTTTGTCGCAACTTACATTAAAAAGCTCCTGGAATTTGATGAATTCTAGATGAGCATGTAAAAAGGAAATCTATTCTCAGTTGAGTTAATGTGAGATAGTAACTAGAGATATCTTACTGTTGCATTCCTTATACGTGTATGCTTCTATCCATCAGCTTTGTGTCAGCTGCCTCCACATTCCTTTCTCTGTCCGACAAATCTCCTTTTTACAACTGGTTAACAGTGTGATTCTCTGTTGTTTGGCTTGACTTCTAGAGTTCCAAACCACGTCTGGACTGCTTGATAGAAGTGTACAAAAGTTGTCATGAAATCCTGGATCAGAGAAAAACAGCTTCGCAACCAGATGGAGTAAAATAATAAATACTCAAGATGGATAACTTGCAGCAGGACTTGGAGAGATGTATGGAAAAGCAAGCAAATCTGATCTATGGCTCTTTAAAATTAAATGTTTAGAATGTGATGCAGTTGTAAGAATGACATTATAGATAACAGCCCACACAGACTCACAGAGCTGTTATAGAAGATGTCAGCTGAAGTGCACAAGTGAACCTAGAAATTGACTGTTATGAAAAACAGGTGAGCAACACTTATAAAAGAGTCAAACAGAAGAGGTTTTTCCATGCATCTCTGGAAGAAGTTATTGGAAGGGGAGACAAAAATATGCAGCAAATGTTTATTCTTTCATGGATCCGAGATTTCTGACAAAAACAAATTGTAACCTTGGGAAGACAGAAAAAAATACCTTTTTTTACTTTACTTTTTTTTTCTTTTTCTTTTTTTAAGTTTCTTTGTAATCCTTTCTTGGAAAGAGTATCAAAACAAAGGTGGGCTGGCTCAGTAAGTTTTCCTGATCCAATGGGGAATTTCAGATAGAGAATGACAGAAAATGAGAATATACTGTTGCTTTGATTTATATTTATGGAATTAAGCATAGCAGAGGATACTTTAGTTTCTTCAGCAATCTGCTTGAAAAAAAGTCCCGTGGTATGGGACCCTAGGGAGAAGAGTGTCCAAGATTGACACTCAGGAATCACTTCCTCCAAGCACATGAGTAGCTCATGCCAACAAGTAAAAAGTTGAGCAAAAATGGCTGGAGGCCTGCATGAATAGGCAATTTATTCCTGGCAAAATTAAAATACCGAAAGGTAGAAGTGAGGACAGGTAGCCTGGGATCAATATAGAGACTGCCTCACCATGTGAGGTATGTGGTTAGGAAAGCCAAAGCCTATCTGCAATTGAATTTTTCTAGAAATGCCAAGGGCAACAGAAAGGCCTTCTGTGAGTACTTGAGTAACAAAAAGGCAAGGAAAATGTGAGGCCACCTCTGAATGGTGTAGAGGTGTGGTAACACCAAGACCTGAAAAAGAATGGGGTACTGAATGCCTTCATCATTTCAGTCTTTACTAGAAAGACTAGACTTCAGGAATTCCAGGTTGCAGATAGCAAGGGAAAGTTCTGGAGCAAGGAAGACCCTTGATGGAAGGTGATCAGGCTAGAAAATACTTAAGCAAACTGCATGTTTGTAAGTCCATGGAACCTGGTGGGATGCACCTACAAGTGCTGATGAATTTTGCTAATGACACAATCTCAGAGGAATGGCTGATATGTCAGAGAAGTGTGCTGCCAGCCAAAGGGACCCAGACAGGCTGGAGAGATGGGTATGCAGGAACCTCTTGTAGCTCAACAAACGGTCCTGGAGAGGAATTACTCTGTGCTGTTCCTTCCAGTACATGCTGGTTCTTTTTCAGAAAAGGATGCGGAGGTCACAGTGGACACCAAGTTGAAGAGGTGCCAGCTGTGTGTCCTTAGTACAAAAAGGCTAAGAGTGTCCTGGATTGCGTGGGAGATGTAGCAGTTCAAGGGATGGGATCCCTCCCCCTTCCTCAGCACTGGTAGGACCACAGCTGAAGTGCTGCATCCATTTCTGGGCTCTCCAGTATGTGGGCATGTCAGGTGCTAGAATGGGCTGCCCAGGTAGGTGGTGGAATCACCGACTCTGGAGGTGTTCAAGGAACGTTTGGACGCTGTGCTGAGGGACGTGGTTTAGTGAGAACTATTGGTGATAGGTGGATGGTTGGACTGGATGATCTTGTAGGTCTTTTCCAACCTTGGTGATTCTGTGGACAGTGAGGGGCTGCTTACATTGGCGTGGAGCTGGAGCCTGAAGAAAGACTGGAAGAGCTAGGGCTTTAAGCCTAGAGAAAAGAGGGTGTGGGGGCAATCGTATATAAGTACCTAAAGGGAGGTTATAAAGAAGATGGAGTCAAGCTTTCTGGGGGCTGGAGCAGAGCTCACTTCCAACCTCATTCAAAAGAGCCAGATCAATTACTATGAGAATATGAGAAAAATATGTTATAAATTAAAATTATAATAATGACTGTGTGAATAAAGTAAGTTAATGTAGAGAAGTTCTTAGTTGATTATTTAAAAGTTACTGTAACTTTTAACTGGTATTTTTCTGTTCTTTTTTTTTTTTTTTTCCTCCATGACTTCTTATTAAAGTAATTAAGGCAATTGAGATATTGGGAAAAGCAAAAGCTAAACTAGCAAGCTGGCAGAAGCCTTGGTCTCAATCTCCATACAACACTGTGCTATTGTTTTGTACATTCCCTAGAATTAAGACATGGCAGCACATCATCATCATCAACATGTAATGTGGGGTTTTTTTGTTTGTTTTTTTGCACTGTGCTGCAACGTTCAGGTTAACTCAATTGACAGGAGTACTCTGGCTGTTGAAGCGAAGGGCAGTGGCTTGGGGATGCATGGTGGCATTTGGGCAACCTTGTCTGGGTGTTCAGTTTCTCCTGTGGTTTCATTACTCACAGATGCTTTAAATGATGGAGTTGGCTGGATTTTTAAGTCTGGTTCAGTTGCAGTGCAAGTTGGTAGGTCAGCCTCTGAGGTTAAGGATGCTGTACCTGATGTTTGGTGGCAAGTCCAGGTAAAGCTGGGGTATTGGGGAAGAGGCAGAAATTGGCTGTTGACAGCAGAAGCAGGCTCCAGAGATGTGGCTGCGGTGGAGGTCCTTTGGCTGAACCTTGTGGCGCACTTAGAGCTGGGTACAGAGCTGCCTATAGACCTGCTTTGGGCAGGGTATGTTTCTTCATGGGAATTAGAAATGATTGAGAACACTGAAGAGCATTTATAGCAGTGGGAAGATTTGCTGATCTGTGGGAAGAATTTGTCAGAGGAGAAGTTATCTCAGCAGAGTGGGCAGACTTGGACCTAACAGTTTGCTGGGAACTCTGGCTATGCTGTAAAAATGTCATAGAGTCTGGAGAATGTGAACTGAAGAAATGAAAGAGAAACTGTATCGCAGGAAGAAGTCTGGAAAATCTTTTTAGCTATCTTTGGGACGTCCCATGCATGTGGCATTGCACTTCAGTGATCTGCTCAAGCCAAGTTAAAAGACAGAATCAAAGAGTGGGAGACGGGGAGCTTTGCTCCAGGTATGTCTATGGAAACTAACACAGTCTTTGACCACATACATTTACTTCAGGGTTATTCTGGCTTTTGAGATAAATAGTTTCTTTCACTCTGTGAAAACATACGAGTTCATTCAGGATAATTTCATTTTATTAAGATCAGAAATCTCACATATCTCCAAGACAGCCTTTCACATACACACAGCAGTTAGGGAAACAAAGGCTGTTGTCTCATTCCATACTGTTGGAATTATCATCACCAAAAGCATTGATTAAAATAAAAACTTTATCAAGGAATCATACAAAATAGGTATCTACATAGGGCTTTTTTTTTTTTTTTTTTAATTTGTTTGCTTTATTTTAAAATCAAGTAACCTATAAATAAGAGGTATATGTGCATCCATCAGAGTGGAGTGGTCTCTGAAATACTCAAGTATTAATATTTGGAAAAAGGAAAAGTCACATTTGCCATGTTTGTGAATTTAGAATGAATTTATGGCAGAAAACAATGAGCTTCATGACAGCTCTTGCTTATTAACATTTCTGCTTCCCATTTCCCCAGTACAAGGATGTAGGTGTTAGCAGTGCAAGGTAAGCACAGTCTCAGAACAGTGAACTGGAGACTTTCATGCCTTGAGCATCCTTATGACAGATGACAATGAGCGGAGCTCATTTCGTTCTGAGGCAGCTTTGTTACTGGTGGGGCACAAGAAGCATGCTGCCAAACAGACCTCCAGATCCTTACTAAGATCAGAGAGAGAATGTGTACTTCTGATATATTTTCAATAGAGTGATCAGTAGTATACAAGGAGATTACATAAAGAGACTAAAACAATACCTTAACATTATTGTTGACTCAGAAAACTACTTTTTCAATAAGTTCAAGGGGTGGATCTTAAATTCATGACAAGTGGGTAAATTGCAGAGTGGACAAATCAGGTCTCTGTGTATATATAATCTCCTACTTCAAGTCTATTGTATAATTTCCACAGGCCACTTTTTTTTTTTAAGTGTTAAAAATATGCTGACAAGTGATTGATTAGAATGATTGTTGTCCCATGTAGTTTTGATTTTTGGCTTTGTACACACAATAAGCTTGAAACAAAAACTTCTTGTAGTTTTTGCAGTACTTCTTGCAGTATCAGCTTCACTGTGTATTGGATATTTCAAGGTTGGTGACAGATACTAGGAAGTAAAAAAAAAAAACACTGGTATGGTTGGTTGATTCATTGGTGAATCACTTTAGTTTGTTATTGCTGAATTCTTTATGATGGTTGGATTCACACTGTTTTAATTTGAGAAAGCTGCCCATGGATGCATTATTATGAAGTTACTCAGGTACTTTTGAAAGGACTATTCTTTACTTCTTAAAAGGTTTCTCAAAATAGCTTAACTCAAGCCAGATAGATAGCGAGTTCTTAAGAAGAATGTCTGGGTTTTTTTGTTTTTTTTTTTTTGTTTGATTTTGCTTCCCAATCAGAACGAAATCCCTTTGAAACCAATCAGAAAAGCACTCTTTAGGAAAATCTGAAGAACAATATTAGAGTATATGTTTGCTAACAACCTCCTCATTGAGACAGTAGCATGAAGAAAGGAGGAGATCTAAAGGAACAGCTTCTGTGAAGGACAGAGCTGGTTTGGGAAGGTCTGTTCCAATTACTGAAAGACGTAAAAATTGAAAGGTTTGCTTGCCTTGTCTTCCTTTGTCTGAGGTGACATGCACATCGTGAAACATGTATCAGTGATTAATGAAAAGAGTCTGTATGTGGTGGTGGGGCATGTGACACTTTCAGCCCTGCAGCAGGGATCTGGTGTTCATCAGTTGTATAGAGCAGCATCAAGTGTCAAAAGCCATCCATTCTACAGGAGCCAGGGCACTGTCTGACACTGGTCCAATCCCAGCTGCTCTGAGTCCTCAACATGGAAGGACATCAGGTTTAATCTTCATAAAATTAAAGTTGAAAAGATTCTCACGTACCGCTGAATTCTTATTCTATACTCCCTATTCCAGGTCTTAAAAATCACCCCTGACATGGCATCAGAAGTCTTGTCAGTTCAGTTCCCATTCCCTTTCAACAGCTGTATCTCTTTTTCTTTCATGTCTGGGGCAGAGACTTGGAAAGTTTCTGTCTTTGAATTTTGGAATCAGTTTTAGGGAGGAATCAGTGCAGCTTCAGGAAAAAATAAATTATCTTTTTTGTGTTAATTAGTGGCAAAAATACAAAAAACTATCTTAGTCTCTTCAAAAGGACTATCTTGATAGCAAGAGTAGCAGCAGTGAATTTAAACACAGGTCAAAACTTTAATGCAATGGCTATTCATAACCAGAGCACAGAGCTGAAGCTATGTCTAAACTACCTGATCAAACTACATCATATTAATCTTCACACTCTGGAATAGCCTGCCAGTGTCTATCTAGTTTATGAGGAAGTAATATGCTGCTCCTTATGCAGGCAGTATTCACCAAGGTGCATCCTTATGCTTGGCTTGTGGCACAGTATCCAGAACCACCTGTCTTTAATTTTATTGAGGCTGTGTCCTCAGTCCATTTCTGTCAAATTCAAGCTTACGCACCACTCAAACCTGCCTTGCAGAAGCTGCAGTCTGTTTCAGGTAAAGAGTGAGCGAGTCAGTGACTGATGTAAACAGAAGATTATTGGAAATAATGGGAATAATACAAAGTTACTGATGAGGACAAGAGATCACAAGGAGTTCAAGAACTGGGCTGAGGTCCCAGGCGTAGGGTGCAGTGCAGTGATTTAAATGCAGGTGCAAAGCTGAAAATGGGAAGCATTAAAGAAAATGTTGCTTGTAAACAAAGCTGTAAGCTTGGGAGATGGAAGAATACTTGCAGCAAACAGAACCAGAGCCCGCATTAAAACAAGGTGTGTAACTGGCAGAATTGTAGCAGTCTGCAATTTGGTACAGAGCAATGGGGAAAGCAACAGCACACTGCAACCCCACAAATGAAAAATTCCCAAATCGGAATGAGCCCTCAGAGCAGGGTGGGCCCCTTAGTGCTTCGGGGCACGGAAGGGAAAAAACACCGACTTTCAGTCTCCCAGAGCCTGTTGGCAGGTGTTGTGCTTCCAGAGGGCTGTGCGGAGGGTAGGAGGGGAGTTGTCAACCGGGAGTTAATGTAGGTGGCAATAAGAAGTGTTGCTTCAACAATCTGGGGGAGAAAAAGAAAATGATTAACTGTAAGTCAAGGAGAGGGAAAAGTGCCCTTTGAATTTATTTATTTTTTTAAGAACCTATTGACCATGTAACATTTGCAAAAGATTTCTTTCTCACATAGAGTTGTTAAGTTCTGAATCGAAGGACTGTCTGTAAGAGGTAGAACAAGTCTCTCAATTAAATGAAACAATTTACACGGAACTTCTTGACTGTACATAGCTAGTGCAGCAGCCAGAAGTACCAGACCCAGGGCTTGTTCAAAATGCCTGGCTTAGATACTGCCAGCTGGAAAGATACTCACTGTTCATTTTGTAATTACCTTTGGAATTGCCATTGTGAAAAGGAGCTTTTCTGTGCTGCTTTTTCCAGAACTCCTTTCTTTTATTTGATTGACTACAATCATGAAGTCGTCTCGACAGCCTCCAAAGGTCAACACAGAAGAGTATGTGTAAGAGAATTTCAGGTGCTGCAGACAACAGAGAGATGAAGTCATACTTCTGTAAAAGACAAAATGGCCACCTCAAACTAGTGTGTTTGCTATTTACTGCAAGCAGTAATAGGCAATTGGCTGTACAGATAACAGCTGGTAGAGAAATCTCAAAAGAGAATTGCATTTGTAGGATTTTTCTAGCTTGCTCCATGCCCTGATGCTTCAGAGCCAAGGTGCAAACTTTGTTAACTGGATGGTAGTAGTAAAGCACATAGCACTTAGATCTTGCAAGGTGCCTATACTTGTTTGTTGCCCATCATCAAGGCAGTTAGCTGTTACATGAAACTTTACCTTACACAGAAGCTGTAATTTTCCT